TCTTCCGCCTTCTCTGCAGATGGCGTCACCATTCACTATTAACAACAAAAACACCTGAATCTCCATTTTCTCAGCCAGAGGATGACGACACATTTATGTCATAACTGCAAAAGCAAAGGAAAATCAGCCTTCACATAATCTGCCCCTCCTTAGCACCAACCAATACAGACCACGAGTGGTTTCTGCGCGACGGACTTCTCTGTGACTCTTACAAAGCGACCTCAGTATCCAAACCTGAAATAAATTAGAGAAATGACAAGATGTCTGATTAAATCTAGGGAGCAGACATGCCTTATTCCTATTTTATGGAGACAGATGGCTTACGAGCAAGTATTTCTCTTCAACAAAACCACCGCCGCTCCTGGAATGCAGAAAGGAAGGTCTGAAAGACCCTCAAGAAATCTTGTCGTTCATCTCCCAAGCCCCAAAGAAGAACTGACCATAACTAATACCTGGCAGACGCTTCTCAAAGCAACAGCTTCTCAAATCTCTACGGATAGTTTACATTGTGCTTCAGTTTGCTATTCCAGTGCTTAACCGAAACCCTGGATCGGCTCAGATAGTCATTTTAGCCGCATTTTAGTTACAACTAACTCTTAGTGGAGAGAAGAAAGAAATAAAGGGCCAGGACTTAGCAGTACTACAAAGGAAAAGAAAACAGATTAAGACTTTTAAAAAAATAAGCGCGTGGTGGAGAGCCTCAGATGCACACATGCTCCATCGCCTGGGGAGCCCCGGCCGGGCAGGCAACCAGCGGAGCTGCTGCTGCACAACGCTGTCTCCACGGTCTTCCATCGGGCACCGGCGTTTTTAAGAAACGGGGAGACAAAGCCATGTGTTCTGATAAGCAGCTGCTTGCGAGCTGAACAGCGTCTGTGCGGCAGCTCAGAGCAGAAAGCGGCACCGAGGACCGGCAGGACCCCACGCACCCGAGGACACGGCCGTCTCCCCTCCTCGCCGGGGGACGGCGTGGGACGCTGAAGTCTGCGGAAACACAGGCAGCGGTGACGTGCTTTAAACGTAGTGGTCGGGAAAGAGCAGTAAATATGAGCTGACTTCATAAACCGTATTATAAACAAACCACGTACTCTTAACACACAACAAAAACGTTTGATGTGCCCACAGCAGAGACTCCGAGACCTCACCTCACCCACCGCTCGCGAGCAGGTCTGGGACCCTCAGCGTGCAAGCGGTCTGCAAACTCCTCTCCGTCAGACAACACGCTGCTTGTATTCTACCGAACTGAAGCAAGGACAGGTTAAAGGACTTCATGTCACACACTGAGTCATGCAGAACCGGATCTGCCGGTTCATTACCAGCCTGTTAGGTAAGCGTATTTGCTCGACACCAGCTCAGGTAACGTTCCTCCGTCCCCTGAGAACAGCAGCCACCGCTGCACCTTCATCCCAGGGCTGTGCCAGGGGCTGTTTCCACAGGCTGCTCACACTAGCCAGCTCTCTTCTCAAGGGAAGGAATGGAGATGTGCAGATTACCCTGCAGCATCCTATCTCCATACCTGAAAACGAAAAGGGGGTAAGAATCCGAGGGCATCTGCCCATCAAAGCACAATACTCGTGCGCAGGAGTCGGGGAAGCTTTCCTCCATCACCCGAACTGCCTGCACCAGCGCAGTCATCCCCGCCATCGCTGAATTCACAGCCATTGCCCTCGGTCATAGAGCAAGGCTCTTCCCACAGTCAAGGTCTAACTCAGCGTCAGCGTGCCGGTACCCCGAGAGCAAGAGCAGGGTCTGGGAGCAGACCCCATCCTCCTCCAGCACACGACAGCATCACGGCCATTCTGCCCACCTTCACAGCGCAGACCCTGAATCTGCAGCATCACCTGCCGATGGTCCAGGCACACACTAAATGTGGGTTCCCCACCAAAAACACTTGGTATGGTCTTTGTTCGCTCAGCTTACTGCAAACGGGCAAGAGCTCAGTCAACACCACAGCTACAACTACAGCACGTCGTCTCCAGTGAGATCCCACCGCTTGGCCGCTGCAGTCCTTATCAGAGAGAACAAAGCTCATCAAAACCAGAGTGACAGACTTGTCTGAATGCCTCAAGCTGCCAGCTGGCAGCAGGAGGTTTTCCACAGGGAGATACCTGCTCTGCCCAGCCACCTGACAGCACCCAGCTCACCAACCGATCCACTGAGGTGCTGCCGAGCCCTCTCCAGCCTTCTCTTGTGGTGATGCGACCGCACTGATGCGAGGGGTTGACGGAACCAGGGAATATTTTGTGCTGCGGTGGGAAAACCTGGTGTCTTTTGAGCTGCACAAACACTCAGAGATTGGTCTGGAGACTTCACGAGCAAGGATGGACTTCTGTGTGGGTATACGAAGGACACAGGGTCAAGAAAGTGACCAAAACTCCACACAGTGGCCGCCTCATTCAGACGGTCCTGTTCGTACCCAGCGATTTGGGAAAGGCAGGAGAGCACGCTACAGAGGGACAAGGAGTTTGATCCCCTTCCCATCCCACCCTTTCTGCTCTGCTCCTGGGCAGAACCAGCTCCCGAGCACCAACCCACCTCGCCGAGGTCACTCCGGACAGCCTCGCCCTGTCCCTTGCCTCCCTGCATAGAGGAGCACAGCCACGCTGCCCAGGGACACTCTGCATCCCACCCCCCGCAGCGCGTCGGTACGGCACCGTGCGTGCTACGCACCAGACGTAAGACACGTGCTAACGCGTGGCACATCCACCCCCTTCCGCGGGGCTGCCACCCCCAGACACACACCACGCTCCCACACACAACCCCCGCACAGAAACAGAGGAAACAAGAGGGCTACAAGGATGGTGAGGGGACTGGAACATCTCCACTACGAGGAGAGGTTGAGGGAACTGGGCTTGTTCAGCCTGAAGAAGAGAAGGCTGCGAGGGGACCTTATAAATGCCTACAAATATCTGAAGGGTGGGTGTCAGGAGGATGGGGCCAAGCTCTTTTCAGTGGTGCCCAGTGACAGGACAAGGGGCAATGGGCACAAACTGAAACACAGGAAGTTCCGTCCGAACATGAGGAAGAACTTCTTCCCTCTGAGGGTGACGGAGCACTGGAACAGGCTGCCCAGGGAGGTTGTGGAATCTCCTTCTCTGGAGATATTCAAGACCCACCTGGACAAGGTCCTCT